GATTCGTCTCGTCGAGCCGCTCGATTCGAGTATAAGCTCGTTAAAATCGGAGACCGTTTGGTAACTCAAATTGCGGTTTGAACCTTCCAACAGCACTTCGGGTCCTTGATTCGGACTCATTTGGGCTCGGATTGGGTTGATCTTGGTTTCGTTGGGTTCGTATTTCCGAGACGCTCAGTTTGACTATAAGCTCGCTGAAATCGGAGTGCAGGTGCTCCCGGAATTAATTTTTGAAGTTTCCAACTAGCTTTTGTCTCGAGATTCGTGCTCGATCAAGCTAATTTTGTGATGCTATATCAAGATGAGTGTCAAAACATTCATAAAAGTACCAACCAAACACGAAATATAACAATTGTCAAGTGAAGATAAAAGGTAAAATACAACATCTACATTGTATATATATATACATGAAAATGGAACCATTATAAACAGAAAAATGATAAGATGTTGTCACCCTATGAAGGCGCCATTTTTTTGGTATTGTATGATTCAGAAGCATCACTGAAATAAGAAGGATTCATATTTTGAAAATTTGAGTCAAGATTGAAGTTATATGATCGCTTTGCCTTATCCATCTTTCTAAATGTAACAGAAATCCTACAACATTTAAGGAAAAAAAAGTTACATAATAAGATGTATAATTGAAAATCAAATAAAATTATGAACCTTTTGTAGAAAACTGTAGGAATACAATGCTTTGAAAGATTAGCTCCATTACCATTTAAGACAAGCACAGATCTAAAAATTTGATATTAGAATTTAATAATAAAAATGTTATGAAATTATCTAATATTCATAAACGATTATACGATATAATGAACAAAAAATATTAAAATATGATATAACACAAAATAATATCTTATACTAACTCAACTGGAAGGGGAATTGAAGCTGATCCAATGAATTCGCCAGGTCCAACAATTTTTATCTTGTGTCCAAATAGTATATTACACTTGCTTAAAAAAGGCACGGTACATAATGGCCTTATGAAATCATGATTATCAATATGAGGTGATGTACAGTCACCAGGTTCATAAATATTAATAATGCAGCTATCAGGTACACAAGTAATAGGCATGACATGTGATGTAATTAATCGGTTAATCATAATCTTGAAAAGATTTGGAATATGATCAATAATTCCATTACGAAGAATACCAGGAGGGATACCGTTCTTTTCCTATGATAAATATCATTGTTAGTTTTATATTTACTTTTAAGTACAAAAGAAAAAAATAATAAGTTTAAATTACAACCGCATAGTTATAACAACAGCCGAATTGCATCGTCACACGTCCTTTGCCACGCATCTATTTTTTTTGGTTCAGAATATGTGTGCTCTAAAAAAAATATTTTAAATTTTATCAGTTCCTAAAGAAGATAAGATATGATAAAATCCTAAATAAAAGAGAATAAATTTAAAAATCTCATAATATAAATCAAATAGAAATCTAAACAAAACAAAATAAATTGTTGAGCGTATCAATCAAGAAAATTCAAAAGGCATGTAAAACTTTTTTTTTAATAAAATTGAATTTTTTATAGTATAACTTGAAAATTTTGTATATTGTCTAATAAACTTATCTATCATTTGATAGGACAAATAAATGTTAAACTTTTAGATGAATTAATCAATGAACTAATCAAGAAAAATATAAGCAAGTTTATATAGTCCTAAACTTAGTTAAATATTAATATGAAGTTATATTTTAATATTTGTTTATATAAGTAAATTCAAATATGATGATATAAATATAATAAAAAATTTTAAATAATATTTTAAATAAATGTAAAAGGAAAACTGAATAATTTTAAACATACCTCAAAGTTCATTATTTCTTCATTTGTTTTGCAAATCATAGATAAATTGGACAATTTCTTTTTTTTTTCCATAGAATTAAAAACACCAAAGTGCAATTGTAGTCCATCCAAAATATTCATAATTCTTCTATTTATCCTCTCAAGGCAAACATAATCTTTCTTCATGTAGAATCTTTTAAAGACTTATTCTCTCATCCTCAAGAAATTCTTGTGTATTCATCTTCATCTTCTTTACAATCTTTTCATTTGTAGATAAATCAATACAAGAAATATGATCGTATACTTCATGTGAGCCCATCTAAGTTAAAGAAAAAAAAAACAAAACAAAAATTAGACATTCCATAAATACAATTACATAAACATCTATTACACAATTAAGATATATCATAGAATAAAGACATGTTAAATTTATTGTAATAAAAGCATTAAAAAAATTAAAAATAAAGTTCATAACTTAATAATGCTAAAGCATGAAAAATAATTCAAAGCGGTTTTTACGCCGCCGGTAATATTGAAGACCGGCGGCCTAACCGGCATTTACAAGACCGTCGCTAATACCAGTGGTCCAACGTTACGAAACCCCCGGGTACGCCGCCGGTACGAGCCGGCGGCCACATCGCCGGATGAATCGCCGGTATTTAACCGCCGGTCATAATCGCCGGTAAGCGGCGTTTTTCCTGTAGTGATACAGGTGCAGGTTATCTAGGTTGATTATCAAAGAGATATCTGACAATCTAAATTCTGCCATGTACATTTAAAAAGCCAAGATGCAATAGAGATGAAGTAATACAAGAAACAATTTAACTTAAAAAAAAATAATTTAATAAGTTATAAGAAAAATATCCCAAATAAAACATAAGAGTAACTATTATTGAAGATAACTACAACCGAGTTATCAAAAGAAAGATAAAACTAAACGTTCAATATATGCATGATAAAAAAAAAATAGTAAAGCATCATAAAAATATCCGCAACTGTAGCTCAATTTCACAACATTAAAATTTTCTAAGGCTGAGAACAGTGTCCTGAACAACCTTCCCATTCAACAAGTAGGTAGTGATATCCTCAGATAGGCAATTTACGCTGGAAAATGCCTAGTTCATTTTTTAAGTCCATCTTCACACTCATTTTCTGATTTGGATTAAAAAAAGTTAAAGAAACTAAACAAGATTAATAAGAAACCAAAAAGAACAATTAGTGTAGAAATAAAAAAAAAAATGCTATTTTTTTTTTCGTAACAAGTTCATCACATTTTTAATAGCACACAAGCTGAAGAAGTTGAAGGAAAAGACTGCAAGAAATAAGTCTACAATGCGTAATAATTTATGGTTTATACATTTTAGTCAATTAAAATAAATTAACAAAAACATCATCAGATGCATAAAGAATAATATTTATATTTCAATTAATTTTAAATAAATTTTATTCATGAAAATAAATTAGTTTCTTTTAGTTTTTATTTTATTTTATCTAAATTTGAGATTTTAACTTAATATATTATATATTGTTTAATTTAGAATTGAGATTTGAAATTAATTAGTTTAATTGTTTCTCCATCTATTTAATTTTTAATAATACATCTTATTTGAACACACACCATAAGAAAAAGGGATGCTAATAAAAATATCATCAGTTATGGGGCTGATAATCCTAGCTATTGACTTTGATATGATAAAAAAAGAAAAAAAAAATTTACATGTATGTTTACAGTTACGAAATCAACCTCAAATTTTCTTATTAAAATGTTTTTTGCTTTTTCTTATTTTTTTAAACTTCATTTGGACAATTTTTTTATTGCTTTCTAAAGCAATAAAATTATTTAAAAAACATTAAGAAAACTATCCCAAACATTGCAAAATCAAAGTTATTCTTTCTTAAATTTTTATTCTTTTTTGTTAATTCTCTTTCTCTGTTTTTTTATGGCTCTCAAGCTTACAACTTTTGCGAAATTTTTTTTTTTTAACTTCTCTAAGATATATTGCTCCAACACAAATCTCAACCATTCCTTGACTGTTCATTACATAAGATTTATTAAACAACGACATTATAAAAAAAAATCTTCCTTTACCAAATCCTTGAGCAGCTAAACTTACTGGAACTTAAAATTTTTTTTTTTATCATATTCTATGACCTCTCTTTGGTAACAGTTTTCATACAATATATATGCATCTTATGCAGAACAAACTCTTATTCATCACAAAAATTTAAAAAACTTACAACTTAGGATAAATTAGATAGCATTTATACAAACATAGTTTTTTAATTCAAATATCACGACCTTTTGATAATTTCCATCACATGCAAAATGCAAATATAAAAAGAAAGAAAGAAATAAAAGCTTGAAAAATGATTCAGTGCGGACCCGAATTAGCGTCTGGAAACAAACCAGAACGCGCTACACTTTTTTTTCGGTATTGGTGATCTGTACTAGATGACGTTGCACGTTTTGATTCATATCCGAAACGTCCCGTATCTGCACGAAATAATCTCTCTTTTGCTAAGACGGAAGGATAGTCATAGGACAAAATTGTTACCTCAAAAAAAAAAAAAAAAAAAAAAAAAAACCCAAAAAAAAAAAAAAAAAACAGTTGGAACTATACCAAATTGGCAAAAAGTCAACAAATATTATTACTTATAACAAAAGAATGAAAGTGGAGATTAAAGGTGAACGCAGAGACTATTAAAGATCAAAAAAATTGCTGAAAACGGAATTTCTATGGTGGACCGAAACTGAGTTTGAAA